GTGGTGGCTGGGAATATACACAGCAGAACATATATCAATCCAACAATTTCTACCTGTATAATCCAGTGACATTGATTACATTCTTCAAATTGGCTATTCCTCCTTTATTAATATAAACCTACTCTGGTAGCACAGTGGTTACGAATTGGATTGCAAACCTTAAGGTCAGCAGTTTGAAACTACCAGCCACTCTGCAGGAAAAAGATGAGGCTTTCTGCTCCTGTAAAGATTTATAGCCTCGGAAACCCTGTACAGGGTCGTTATGGGTTGGCATCTACTCGATGGCACTTAACAACAACAACTCTGGTAGCGTGGGGGTTACGAATCGGGCTGCTAACCTGAAGGTCAGCAGTTCAAAACTACCAGCCATTCTACAGGAGAAAGATGAGGCTTTTTGCTCCCGTAAAGATTTACAGCCTGGGAAACCCTGCACAGGGTTGCTATGGGTCAGAATCGACTCCACATAACAACATAACAACAACAACAATTGACTGTAGAAGAATTGATGCTTTTGAGTTATGGTGTTGGAAGAGAATATTCAAAGTACCATGGGCTGCCAAAAGAACCAACAGATCTGTGTTGGAAGAAGTGCAGCCAGACTGCTTCTTGGAGGCCAGTATAGCCAAACTTCATCTCTCATATTTCGGATATATTTTCAGGAGGGACCAGTCGCTGGAGAAGGATATCATGTTTGGTAAGGTGAAGGGAGTGGCAGAGAAAAAGTGGAAGACCCCCAGCGAGATGGATTGGTAAAGTAGTAGCAACAATGAGCTTGAGTGTGGCAACAATTGTGAGGTTGACCCAGGATTGGGCAGTATTTTGTTCTGTTGTGCACAGGGTCGCTATGAGTCAGTACCGACTCGATGGCACCTAACAACAACAACTGCCCCCTAAGTTCTAGTCTTTCCAGTTGCTGTTTCAATTTGATCCCAAATAGATCTTCTAAGTGCACAGTTCTTAAGGCACTTAACAACAACATTATTAATAGGCCAAGTAACAGGGTTGACCTGTGAAACCATGATCCTAAACCTCCAAATCAAGGAGCCAAAAATCCCATGAGGTATTTGGTTATACATAAGCTGCCTCGGCAACTACTGTCTTTGTCATCATTGTAAACATATCTATCACACATTTTTTTTTTATTTTTTTTTTTCAAATTCAACTGTTTACAGGTTTACAACTAATTGACAACCATTACAAAAATCAGCTGTGTAATGCTATCCTTAATCAATGTGATTTTTACATCACCTTAAACCAAAATTCAGTATTCCACAAGCAGTGACAGCTCCTTCTTCCCACCCCTCGTTAAGGGTTTAAAAACTTTGGTCTCTATACATTTGTTTATTCTTCTCTGTTACTTAACTGAGGTCACAAATATTTGTCCTTTTGTGACTGGCATGCCTTACAGCACCAACCATACTGTAACATGTATTAAGTTCCATTTCTCTTACTGGCTGACTAGCTGGCATTCCACTGTATATGTACAACACTGATGTCCATTCCAGTCCTTTGGGTTAGTTAACTTTGTGGTTGTTGTTAACTGCCATCAAGTTAGTTCTGACTCATAGCAACCCTGCATAGAGTTTCCAAGGAGCAGCTGGTGGATTTGAACTGCTGACCTTGTGGTTAGCAGTCCAGTGTTTATCCTACAGCATCATGCCAGGATCCTTGACTATATTGGACTAAGTAAAAAAAAAATTGTCCTAGTGTTCCAGTTCATACAAGCACAAGTTTGTTCCAAACAAAATGTGTTTAATCATGTCTGGCATCAGTGAATGTTCTCACACATTTATCAGGCAAGTTCTCTCAGCAAAACATTTGTCTTAGTTTTGTTAGGGTGCCTTGAAAAACAAGGTCCAATCAAATAGTGGCTTCCAAGGGGATCTGCTGGGCCAGTAAATTCAAAGCAGAGTTAAAGTGACTATGTTTTGGTACTCTAAAGGGGTAATCCCCATAGATTTTCTCAAAGGGCACAAGATGATCACAGGATCTTATGGAAAAAGAACTTCTAAGAAAACTGAAAATTGCATTGGTGAGAAAAAGCCCAGGAGAGTTGTGCCATCCGTGTTGACTGGCCTAATAATATGCTTTAAAGTTGTTTTCTATAACGACAATGCATCTGCATATTCTTCAAGGGTAGCAAGGGCTCTCCTACGAGAATTTCATTGGGACACCTTACCCCATCCATCCTACAACCCTTGCCCTCTATCAGACTTCTCTTTATTTCCAAAACTCGAACATTTAAATACGACTTAAATCTCTCCAGGATGCCAAAATATAGTCCTGGTGTGGTGCTGTGGGTTAATGCACTGGACTGCAAGGTTGGCAGTTCAAGCTCACCTGGTGCTCCTCAGAAACCCTATACAAGGTTGCTATGGGTCAGAACTGACTAGACAGCACTTAACAAAAACAACAGGATGCCAAAATTAGTGTAAATCTAAGAGCACAGAATTCTTCAGGGAAGTGCTAGCAAGACAGAAGCACTGCCTTTAGAAGTGTATAGACCCAGATGGAGGATATATCAAGAAACAATGGCTTCACATTTTGATTTTTTTGTTTAATAAGAGTTTCTATGATTTTGATCAATAATTTTTAGTTTATCCTCAGATTTACCTAGGAGTCTGCTAGTATTGGAGACCTGGTGTAGTGCTGTAGGATAAAGCACTGGACCACAAGGTCAGTTTGAACCACAAGGTCGGCAGTCCAAATTCACCAGCCACTCTTCAGAAACCCTATACAAGGTGGCTATGAGTCGGAACCAACTTGACAGCACTTTATAACAATGGTAGTACTTTTAAAAAAAAATTTAAGTGCTGCCACAGTTTTCCACAATGGGCTGCAACATTCGCATTCACACCAGCAATTAATAAGGGTTCACATTTCCCCACATCCTAGCCAACAATTGTTATTTTGTGTTTTTGTTTTTATTTTAGCCATCATGTTGCTGTTGTTAACATGGTATTTATCCTACAGTGATCCAGAGCTTATCCTACAGAGCCACACCAGAACTTCACAGCAGGAATGAAATGGTAACTCGTTGTGGTTCTGGCCTCTCAATTTTATTCCACTTCTCAGTGTGTCTGATGTTTATTATACTAGCACCAGACTAGTTTCATTATTATACCTGTTTACTATGTTTTAAAATCAGGAGGTATGAGTTTTCCCACTCAGTTCTTCTCTTTGTTCAGTATTGTACAAACCATTCAGGAGTTTCTTTCTACTCCATGTAAAGCTCTGTTTTTAACAACTGTATTTAAATGAATGCAAAACCTCTTTTTTCACATCAACAGTGTTCCACAGGTCCTTGGACTACATGAAATGTGTGACCTATTCATATTTCAGGACCTTGTGTTGAAAACTGCAAGACTGGCACTATTATAAGGATTATCTCAATAAAGAATTCCTATATGACAAAAGTATCACTGAGTAACAAGAGATGGCCAATGTGCCTGTGACTACAAATGCACGCCGTTGTAAGGTATCTTGTGGTTGCAATATTACAACCTGAGGAGAATAGAGCACTCTCCCAACTGAGAAAATAACCTTCACCTTTTGGACTCCTGGTGTGGCACTGTAGGATCAACACTGGATTGCAAACCACAAGGTCAGCTGCTCCTCAGAAAACCATATGGATTCCCTGGCACTTAACAACAACTCTTCTTTCTGTCCTGCATCAAATACTTAAGATATATTTAAGATGATCAACGAAAAAAGAGTGATTTCTGAGTTTCAAAGTAATTCTTATAATTTGCTAATTCAACTGATATACAGTCTGTTGTTGTTGTTAAGTACTGTCGAGTTGATTCCGACCCATAGCAACCCTGTACAGGGTTTCCTGAGGCTGTAAATCTTTACAGGAGCAGAAAGCCTCATCTTTCTCCCGCAGAACAGCTGGTAGTTTCAAACTGCTGACCTTAAGGTTCGCAGCCCGATTTGTAATCACTACGCTACCGGAGCTCCTTATATAGTCTGTAGGGCAATATTATTCCTGAATTCTGTAAACTGTCATGGAATAATCTCTATTTCATGCAGTAATCTATCAGAGGTCCTGTGAAGGTATTTACAAGGACATTCTGCCTTTGTTAGGAGCTCTAAACAAAAACACCTGGGCAATGAAGCCAACTTCAAAATCTTATGTTTTCAAAGTAAGGCTACATTTACAAACTTGGACATTAGAGGCGTATATAATAATTTTAAAACAATTAAATAATTTTGAAAATAAAACAAAAAATATTTATCAATACAGTATGCAACAAGAAAAATCTCACACTTTTATTTTGATAAGTGTGTAATGAACTTTAGAACTGAATTTCATTTATAAAAAAAAAAAGACACAAGTTTGTTCAAAGTATTTTAAAATATAATCAGACAGTAAGTGTGAGATGAGGTACCATAATTTCTGCAAAAACATTATTCCTCTGTCATCTCTATGAGACAGCAGTCTGGCTGGTTTTGCTGCTAGTAGTGCTATATTGGCAACATTACCCACTATATCTGTTGATTGTGTCCCTAGGGAAAAGGGGATGGCTTTGTCCCAGAAATGAACCTATCACTGGAAAAACTTTTATTTCCAAATAAAACCAAACATCTCAGTAGTAATTTTTAGTATAATAAATTCAGGATTCTCAGCCGATTACAGAGCCTAATTTCTATCAACGGCAGTGGTTCTCAATAAGGGGCAATTTTGCTCCCAAGGGATAAGACATTTGGTTTTGAAAACTGATGTGTGTGTGAGAGAGAGAACATGAGAGAGAATGGAAGAGACACTGGCATCTAGAGGACAGAGGCCAATGGTACTGCCAACCATCCTACAATTTATAGATCAGTTTCCCACAACAAAATGTCAAAGGTGTTATCACTTAGAAACCTAAGTGTATGGTACTATTTGCACCCACTTTAAAATGACAACTTAGCATAAATTATTTTTCCAGAAACAACAAGCAAGATGTTTCTGATAAGGGCCTCATTAAATTAACCTTCTACATCATTCTCATATTTACCTGAATGGAATATAGGATGTATCGCCAAACATTAAAATTCTATATGCTTCTTCCGGCGTTCTCCCCAAATATATAACCTACATTTGAAAAGAAAAAAAGATAATTTCTAAATAAAGATATAGTATAGTGCAGTAATGACATGAAGTTTATACGATTTAAGATGGTACTCATGGCTATCCAGAAAGTATTCACACTTTTTAGAAATACGTTGGCCATCATCAAAAGCAATATACACTTTAATTCATTAAGACATTCTAAGAATATGGCATTTGTTTTGAACAAAAAACATTTGTGACCAATTATTTACTTCTTATGAGAAGATAATAGGTTTAAAGTTTTTCAGTCCTTGTACCTAGCCAACATTTATAAAGGGTAATAGTAGGACTTAACTTGATATACTGTAAAGCAGTATTTTCACTTTTACAAAAAACTTATCAAGATTTCTGCTGAACTTCTGGATACAAACACTACACTGTGCACCCTAACTCACTTAAAAGTTTTTACTAAAACGTAAGTCCTAAATTAATATAATTTTTCACTTTATATGTTCCTTATGATTGTATACATTAACATATTTGAGGAGCAAAAATTGATGATTTGATTAAAACATCCACTATCAATAAGTTGTGGAGTCCTGGTGTGGCACTGTGGGCTAATGAGCTGGACTGCAAAGTCATTGGAACCACACAAGATCGGTCACTCAAGCTTACCAGCTGCTCCTTGGAAACCCCTATGCAGGGTTGCTATGGGTCAGAACTGACTCAACGGTACTTAACAACAACAATAACTAAGTTTTCAATCTTTTGAGTTCCTGAGACTGTATAAGCTATAAATGAATCCTATGGAGACTGCAACTTTTTTTTTTTTTTTTTTAAATATTTTATTGTGAATTATATGATAGTTTACATGAGAGAACCTTAGTTTTACATTCATTCTATCATATATCGTTTCATTGCCATGGTTCTAATCCCCTCCATGCATCATCAACCGATCAAAGGGTATACCCTACAAACCCGCCCCTTACATTCCCTCCCCCACTCCCCGCCCAAGTCTTTAGCACACAGTCCCTCTCTGGATCCAAAGTCCCCAGCCGCTTCATCACTCCATGTGATCGTCTCTATATCTCTATCTCGGGCCTAGCTGCTTCTCTGGGTAGGGTCCCGCTCTTGGCTCTTCTCTGTTGATGGTCCTAGAGACCTCCACTCCTAGACTGGAGAGTTAATCACTCCCTTCTTGCTATAAAACATCTACCTTTACATTTCCAACCCTCACAATCAGTCCTGATAACAATTATTCACTATTGTATCCTAAGTGACCCATCTGCGTTTCATTTCATCAGCTCTGCCTAGACAGATTGGATAGTACTCACTGGAGATTCTGCCTTCCTCCATGCCCCCTGGCTCTAGGTCCCCTCTTGAAAGCTTGTAAGCCAGTCACTTCTTGCCTTAGTAGTCTCCCTCCACCCCCACCACCATTTTGGGTATCCAATGTCCAAGTTGCCCAACTCTGTCTACTCTGTATGTGGAGGGGGTGGGAATGATTCTTGCTGTAAGGATTTGTTCCCTTTTTTGAGTTACTGCATCCATAGGTGTAGGTCAAGTTCATCAAACTGTATCAGATTACTCTTTGTTTACTCTTCTTTCTTCTCCTGGTTGAGCTCTGATCATCCAGTCATCAAAGCCAGGTCAAGTGGGTACCATCTGCAAGTGTGGGTGTTCTTGTGCATTTGCCCTCTCTTCCTATCGGCTGGTAGCTTCACTCTCCACTCTAGTGCTCTGCGGCCACGCCACTGACTCTGGAGACAAGAGTCTCTAGGTCTCCCATACTGCTGGCCAACCAGGTCTCCACCCGGGTCCACAGAAGCCCACCGAACATTGTAGGGCTTAGCTTGCAGCTTCATTGCTGCTTTTACCTCTTTTCCCCCTATCGGTGATGAGTGTGGTCACCAATCAGAGCATGTATTTCCGTTGAGTCTTAGTCTTGGAAAGGGGTTTGCACTGAGGGAAACAGACCACTTGCCTTGATGTCTCCTGGGCAAGCAACTTCTTTGTTCTTGTAGTAACAGTCCATCTGCCTCTATTGTTTTGCATTTTTTCCTGTAGGTCTTTCTTTCAAGAAGTATCTTCTGTTCTTCTAGCTGCTACAGGCTGGTCTGCTGGTTCTTTCAAGTGGAAATTTCCCATCTCTGGAGACCTGGATGTGGTTCAGGCTTCTGCCTATAGTCTTATGTATTGCAAAGGCTCCACAGGAAGCCTCCTTCACTGGGCACATTGTAGCCCCATTTTAGGTATTCCAATCAGTTATAGGAAGACAGACTTACAAACTTTCTATGGTGATGTTTCTGACTATTCCTTTCTCTCCCCCTCCAGTTTCTATGTTATATTATAATGCAAGGAAGACCAAGATTCAAAAGACAGCCAAGCATCTTAACATTATTACCCCCTTTTCCCCCTTCCAACCATGACTCAACCTCTGTATCCCAGAGCATTGTAGTTCTAAGGTTGTGCATACATCATTCTTTATCTCTGTCCCACTTAGCCCATTCAAACATGCCTAATTGTTCTCCCATCTGCTTTGCTCTTCGAGACTGCAACTTTTTAAAAAGTTGATTCTGTAACTAATTGAGATGAGCCCTGGATTAAGTTGATACTTCCAATGGTACAAGGTTGGCAGTTCAAACCCACCAGTCACTCCTTGGGGAAAAATGTGGCTGCTTTTTCCTGTAATGATTTACAGACTCAGAAATCCTAAGGAGCAGTTCTACTCTGCCAACAGGGCTGCTGTGAGTACAAACCAACTAGGTGGCAGTGGATAGTGGTGGTACCACGGTCTCCTACTAGTATCAGCTAATCAAGAGAAACAGAAACAATGCATTCATAGTCATCTCCAAGCTCAAGGGGAAAAGAATTTGCCCAGTGCTTGTTGTTAAGTGCTGTTGAGTCAATTCCCACTCAGAGAAACCCTGCATAGGGTTTCCGAGGGGGCGACTGGTGGGTTTGAACTGCCAACCCTGTGGTTAGCAGTCCAATGCTTACCCTACAGTGCCATACCAGGGCTCCTATGTTAATCCATGTAAAAAGGTAAACTGTGATGTATCAGGGTTACTAATTACTACAATATACAAAAAGCACACGGCAACTTAACATAGCCTTTATTACAAAATACAAAGTTAATGACACATAATCTAACATTAACACTGACATTTTTATCATCTCATATGATGATTTTTAAATAATGATTCTGGTTAAAAACAGGGACAACAAATCTGGGAAAAGGTTGGTACACTGACTGAGTGCATTGGTGATACAGTGAGGAACAAGAGAGGACAAGTCAGGGAGAGAGACAGCCACAGAAGGCATCAAAACCGTAAGAAATGTTATAATGGAAACCAAACCAAAACTAGAACTCACTCACTGTCTGTTGAGATTATGCCTGAAACAGGAACCGAGTTAACTATGACTACAATGCAAAGAATCCCTCTTACTAACTGAGCTATGAGGCATAGAAATTAATGAAAGAAAAGTAAAACAGCACTGTTGCCTATTCTTGTCACTCTTATTTTCAACACATCTGCAATCTGAAATACCATAGTTACCACTAACTTTTGTTGGAATAGCAATATGAAATAGAATACTATGTCTACATTATAGCAGTTATTCATACTATGTTTCTTCACAGGCATTCAAAAGAAAAGTGAATCATCAAAAAGTAGAAATAAATGTAGCCAGGTTTGTCAGGGTAAGAGTAAAGCACAAGGCGCCCAGTTGTTGTTGTTAAGTGCTGTCGACTCTGTTCCAACTCACAGCACCTCTGTATCAGGTTTCCTAGAAGTGGTTAGGGGGTTTGACCTTGCGGTTAGCAGTTCAGTGATCCTGCAGTGCCACACCCAGGACTCCTAGTCTTCCACAATTACTATACAACTAAAAGTTTTCTAGTAAAGTCCCAAGAAGGGGAAAAGAATAAAGCATACTCAAGGTACTTTCACAAAGTGAATGGCATTGCCAGTATAAATGTCTGAAAAAAAAATCAAAACCTTGTATTAAACTCCTATCCATGTTACCTTTTCTGGGGCAGCAAATAATTGCTTTCCCATTGGATATCAATGGGTGTAACACTAAGAACTTTCCTCTAGTGATAGACTGAAAAAGGACATACCAGTAACAAAGGCCCCAGGATCTGTGGTAAAATTAGCTCCTTTATATGGCCTTTTGTCTGCATTCTTCGAACAAACAGCTTGAGGAAACTGCCCTATAAAATCTGAAGAGTTATGTTTGTTCTAGTGTGTTACTTTGGTCCAGGTTGACTGAGAGTTTCTGGATAGTCTATAAACAACTTGATACAATACTTTTTTCCCAGTGGTTTGAGTCCAACAGCCACTCCAAGGGAGACAGATGGGGCTTTCTGCTCCCAAAGAGATTTAAAGAAACCCTATACAGGGCCAGAACCAACTCAACAGCACTTAATAAGGCTGCTGTGATGCTGTAGGATAAGTACTGGACTGCCAACCACAAGACTGGCAGCTTAAACCTACCAGCTGCTACTCTGAAACCCTATACAGGTTGCTATGAGTTGGAACTGGCTGCAGCCTGCCCTGTGAATGATGTATACCTTGCAGGGATGGGTTAACAGACTATGCAAATGAAGTGACTGTAGCCTACTATACAAATATAATGTCTGGGCCTAATAAAGAAAGGACTGGTCATTTCAGTTTGTGACCCTATGCCTTTTAACTTACAAGGAGTTTGTGTATATAAGCAGTCAACCCCACAGAAGTCTTTCAGGCAGGAAAAAGCATGCCAAGAAAGGGAGTTGAGAGAAAGCCTATCCTGAGAGAGGCCTTACATGGGCCAGAGGAGCCAAGGGAGCTGTCCTGCATTGAAGAAGGGAGACTTTGCCTGCATGTTTCCTGATCCTGATCCTAAGTTGTACCAGTTACTACATTAATAAACCACTTAACTCTAACTATGGTCTGTGAGTTCTGTGTGACCAATGCAACAGACTGTAGAACTCAGGAGAGAAGTTCAGAGTACCATGGAGCGGGCAGTTGGGTCAAAAATATTAAGCAGTTTGGAGAGAG